TCTGCGTGGAGCACTGGGTGTTATGCACAAACAATGAATCATGGAACACTACATCAAAAACTAATGATGTAATGTATGGTGATTAACATAACATAACAATAAAAAATTTTTAAAAAAAGGATGATGATAGCTATAGGTTTTTCATACATGCCCTCTAATAATGAGAGAGAGAAAAAAAATTAAAGGCATCCAGATTGGATAGTGAAAAAAAAATGCTGTTTGTTATTGACATGTTCTTGTATTTCTAAGACCCTAAGGAATCCAGATAAACACGCGCCCACACAAAAAAGCCCTACTAGAATTAATAAATGAATTTAGGACGGTTGCAGGTTACAAGATTAATATATGAAAATCAATTGCATTTCAATCTATTTAATTAAGAAGAAACCAAATTCCATTCACTTAGGAATAGCAAAGTAAAACAATTTATATTGAGTACTGGAAGATCTAAATAAATGGAAAGACATACCACACCTGTGCACTGGAAGATGGCAAACATCCCACACTGATTTAGAGATTCAACGTGATCTCTATCAAAATCCAAGGAGGGGATTTTGGGGAGGCAGAAATTAACAAACCGATACTAAAATGAAACGCAAATGCAAAGAATGCAGAAGTGCTAAACAACTATGAAAAAGAATAAAGTTGGAGGAGTAACACTTCTTGTTTTCAAAACTTACTATGAAGCTTTAATAGGTATCTTAAGACTATGAAGTACAGACATACAAATCAATGAACAAATTGAGAGTCCTGTAATAAACTCTTATATTTATTCCATTGATTTCTGAAAAACATGCCAAGGCAATTCAATGGAGAAATGGTAGATACTCTTTTCAACAAAATAGTGCTAGAACCAAATGGATGGTCTACACACACAAAGACAAATTTAGATCTTTACCATACAGAAAGCTTAACTCAAAATAAATCACAGACCTAAATGTAAAAGCTAAGGCTATAGTATTTCTAGAAGACAAAACAGAAAATTTTCATGACTTTGGGATAGACGAAGATTTCTCAGATGCAACACCAAAAACATAAACAAGGGAAGAAAAAAGTGATAAACTAGACTCCGTCAAAATTAAAAACTTTCAGCTCTTTCTGTCATCTTGCAACCTGTAGAGGCCTGCTGGGAACAGGACTCCTAAAATGACAAATATGTCTGGAAGGCTGTGGTCCAGGGCCATTTTTGCTGGCTCTAAGGGAGGTCTCCAGAATTAGAGGGAGCAGCACACAGCTCTTCTTTAAATTGAAGGTGTTTATGCTCTAAATGAAACTGAACTCTTATCTAGACAAGGGATGGGCTTCTGTGTACAAAGCAAAGAACAATACATTGACGCTGGGTGGCAAACTGTACAAAACCAGAGTAATCTGGGGGAAAGTAACTCATGCTCATGGAAACAGTAGCATGGTTTGTGCCAAATTCCCAAGCAACCTTAGTGCTAAAGCCATCTGTAACAGAATCTGTGATACTGTACCCCTCAAGGATTTCAACTTACTGAAGAGAAAATAAAAGTGTACAAAAAAAAAAGAAAACTTCTGTATGCAACAACAATCCAGACTGAGAGAAAATATCTGCAAATCACACATCTAATAAAGGATTTCTATCCAGAATATATAAAGAACTCTTACAACTCAATAGTAAAACAACCCAATTAAAAATGGGCAAAAGATTTAAATATTTCATGAAAAAAGATACATGAACAGCTAGTAAGTTCATGAAAAATGCTCAACATCATTACTCATTATGGAAATGATGGAAAATTAAATGGAAATTAAATGGAAATGCAAATTAAAACCACAATAAGACACTACCTCATACCCACTAAAATGGGTACATTCAAAAAGCCTGACAACAAGTATCAAGAGCATGTGGAGACAGGGTGCCTGGTGGCTCAGTCGGTTAGGTGTCTGCCTTCAGCTCAGGTCATGATTCCAGGGTCCTAGAATGGAGCACCTCACTTCTCCCTCTCCCTCTGCTGCTTCCCCTGCTTGTGCACACTCTCTCTCTCTCTCAAATAAAATCTTTAAAAAATAAATAAATAAGAGCCATGTGGAGAAACTGGAACCCTCATATGTTAGTGGTAAGAATATAAAACAACACTGCTACTTTGGAGAAATTTGGCAGTTTTTCTTAAATAGTTAAATTCACCATATTGCCTCAGAAATTCTATTCTTAGCTATTTACCCAAGAAAAATAAAAACAAAACTCACACAAAGAGTTATATGCAAATGTTCCTAACAGTAGTGGTCATACTAGCCAAAAACTAGAAATAATTCAAATGTCCACCAACTGGTGAATGGCTAAAAAATTGTGGTACATCCATACAATGGACAACTGTTCAGCAATAAAAAGGAAAAAACTACTGATACGTTTCAACATGAAAGAACCTTGAAAACATTATGCTAAGTGAAAGAAGCCAGATGCAAAAGACTACACATTATGAGATTCTACTTACATGAAATGTTCAGAAAAGGTAAATCTATATATACAGACAGACAAGATACTAGAGGGTCTCTGAAGCCGAGGACAGAAGCAGGGACAGGCTGCAAATACACACAGCATATCTTTTTAAAGGATTATGAAAGTGTTCTAAAACTAGATTGTGGTGATGGTGCAAAACTTTATACATTTACTAAAAATCACTGAATCATACACTTGTAATGGATAAATGTTATGGTTTATAAATTATACTTCAATAAAGCTGATTTTAAAGAGTGGTAAGAAATTAAACACAAAAGAGCAGCAACAACAAATTGTGATGAGAATCTCTCTTACCTCTGCTGGATATACTGGGCATAATCTGAGGAATCATATTATTGCTTGTATCCATTGGCTGGGAATTATCTTGACCCATTTGATCATCTGGTGGCATATAGGCAGGAGGAGGAGTATCAGCTAAGAAAAAGAAAGTGAGACAAGTTAAAGTCCCAAAAGAATAGTTAGTATCTTCATCCTGCTTAAACATATTCTAAAAGCATTAAAAAGGTCCTAAGATTACCAGCACAGTTTGTCACTGAACATTACAGACAAAGAAAAATGTAGGATGCTACCTGAGACAAGAGAAAAGTAGAAAAGACAGCATACCCATTAGTTACTGAAAACCTGCTAAAGGTCTGCATGTATTCGGTCCAAACCAGGATAGTAAGATCAGTGCTAAAATTCACTAAAATAGAATTCAAGATCAAGAAGTTTGTCTTTACGTACTTACAATCATATGCTGGGAGAAACTGCAACAATTACAAACCAATCGGAAGGACACGGATTATCTTAGTTTGAGTATCTCTCTACAGAGACACTTTTAAAGTATCAAGATCATCACACACTGTATGCTGATAATTAACACTGGAAATTAAAACTGTACTCCTACAAAATGTACCAACATGAACAGCAGCTAGACATCTAATTCTTTTCAACATCCTAAAATGGCTGTCATGCCCTACTAAATGATTAGGTAATTCTTAGGAAATTTGAATGTGAACTAGAAAATCTTTTGAGTTCCAGCACTCCTAGTTAAAAATCTTTGCAAAAGTTACAGCTATATTCCTGTCTCAGTAATTATAAATACCGAATATAATATCTTTCACTCCAAGGTTTGTACAAGATATAGTGTGACACAGACCTGTAATCAGACTGAATCTAGGGCAACGGATAAAAATTAGTTTTGGAACAAATACCTAACAGCAAGTTAAACAGCTGATACTTAATTCTCCTTGAAAAAATAAAAAAACACATCAACTGATGCCGTAAAGAAACCAGAAACAATATACTTACATATGACTCCACCTACAACAGTAGGCATTCAAATATTTCTTGACAAACTGACATAATGATGCATCCATGTATGACATACCATTAATGAAATCTGGGCACTTTATAAAATCTACTTATGAACTTTCTCCAGGCAAACCACGTCATCAGTTACCTAATTAAAGATAACTGGGGTGCCTTTTAACTTTCCAGTCTATAATGATGTGACAAGAAGTAAAGTTAAAAAAGCACAGACTTTAGAGTCAGAGAAACCTAGGTCGGAAGGTACTTAAGCTCTTGAAGCAAATATCAATTTCTTTCTCCACCTGTATAATCAGAGTACTACCTAGCTCACATGGTTGTTCTGAAGATTAAATTTAATGCAGTATCTTTCATCACAGTACCAGTTATACAAAAGGCACTTAATAAATGGTACTTTGTATTATAAATTATATGAAAATATTTAAGTTAAATATGGCTGCTTCTTTTTTTAATGCCTGGAAATACATAATTTAGGTTTTTGGGCCAATAAATGATCGAATGATACCTAAATACACTTCCAGTTTTTCAGATTACATACTCCACGTCATAGTCATCAAACACATTAGGTCTTTTTCTGGCTTCAGGTTTTTGATAACCTATTAGAACACTCTGCCTTTCACGCATATAGGACTCCCTATGAAACCTTTCAAGTTAGCACCATTTGGCTTCACTCTCAAGTTGCAGTGGCAGCCACTTTACATAGCTAGTTGTAAATGTATGGATTTCTATAAGTTTACCCATTCATTTCACAAATTTTCTTGAGGGTCTACTGTATGCCAGGCTCTGATACAGGGACTGGGGATGTAGCAGTAAAAAAGGAGGCTAAAATTCCCTTTTTCATGGAGTTTATAGTCAAGATAGGGAGAGGAGGAAAGGAAAAGAATATAAATACAAACAATCTGTTGGACTATAATATAGGCTATCAAGAAAAATCAAGCAGTGAGAGAAAGAAGATAGGATGAAAAGAGAAAGTGAATTTCTTTTCATTATTCTTAAAGGATCATCTCTCCAAAACTGTTGGCTTTTTTCACAACATTCAATTAATTTCAACTAAAACAAAACAAAACAAAACCAGTTCATCCATTTCTCTTACTCCTTGCCTCTGGCAACTACTAACCTGTTCTCAGTATCTATGATCAGGGTTTTTGTTTTTTGTTTTTGTTTTTTTTTCTAGATTTCACATTTAAGAAAAATCCTGTCTTTCCCTGGCTTACTTCATTTAGCTTAATACCCTCAAGGTCAGCCATGTTGTCACAAATGACAAGATTTCATTCTTTTTTATGGCTGAATATGCCACAATTTCTTTATCCATTCATCCAACAATAGACACTTAGGTTGCTTCTGTGTCCTATTATAAATCATGCTGCAATGAACCTGGGACTGCATGTTTTCAAGTTAGTGTTTTTGTTTTCTTCAAATAACTACCAAAAAATGGAATTCCTGGATTACGTGGCACTTCTATTTTTAATTTTCTGAGGAAATTCCATACTTTTTTTTTAATTTAAATTCAATTATTCAACATATATTATTGGTTCCAGAGGGAGACGTCAGTGATTCATCAGCCTTACAGAATGAATACCCAGCGCTCATTTACATCACGTGCCCTCCTCAATGTCCATCAGCCAGTTTACCCCATCCCCTCAACCCCCTCCCCACCAGCAACCCTCAGTTTGGGAAACTCCATACTGGTTTTCACAGTGGCTGTACCAATCTGCATTCCCACCAACCGCATGAGGATTGCCTTTTCTCCACATCCTTGCCAACACTTGTCATTTCTAGTCTTTCTGATAATAGCTACTCTAACAGGTATAAGGCGACAGATAACTCATTGTAGTTTCAATTTGTATTTCCCTGATGATTAATGATGGAGAGCACCTTTTCATGTACCTGTTGGTCATGTGTATTATGTCTTCTTGGGAAGAAGGCCTATTCAGGTCCTCTGCCCATTTTTTTTTTTTTAAAGATTTTATTTATTTATTTGACAGAGAGAGACACAGGGAGAGAGGGAACACAAGCAGGGGGAGTGGAAGAGGGAGAAGCAGGCTTTCCGTGGAGCAGGGAGCCCGATGTGGGGCTTGATCCCAGGACCCTGGGATCATGACCTGAGCCAAAGGCAGAAGCTTAACAACTGAGCCACCCAGGTGCCCCATCTGCCCATTTTTTAATTGGAATGTTTGTTTTTGATATTGAGCTGTATGAGTTATGTATTTTGCATATTATCCCCTCATCAGATATATGATTCTCAAATATTTTCTCCCATTCAGTAGGTTGCCTTTTCATTTTATTAATGGTTTCCTTTGTGTGCAGAAATTTTTTTGTTTGATGTAGTGAAACGTGTTTATTTTTTGCTTCTTTTGCTTTTGGGGTCAATTCAAAAAATCAACGCCAAGACCAATGTCAAGGAGCTGCCTGCCTATGTTTTCTTCTAGGAGCTTTATGGTTTTAGGTCTTATGTTCAAGTCTTTAATCCCTTTTGACTTAATTTTTGTCTATGGTGTCAGATAGCGGTCCAGCTTCATTCTTTTGCATGTGGTTGTCCAATTTTCCCAACATCATTTATTGACGAGACTCTCCTTTCCCCATTGTATATTCTTAGCTCCTCTGTCATAAATTAACTGTCCATCTAAGTGTGGGTTTATTTCTGGGCTCTCTCTTCTGCTCCAATGATCTATATGTCTGTTTTGTTTTTTTAAAGATTTTATTTATTTATTTGACAGAGAGAGACACAGCGAGAGAGGCAACACAAGCAGGGTGAGTGGGAGAGAGAGAGAAGCAGGCTTCCTGCCAAGCAGGGAACCCGACGTGGGGCTCGATCCCAGGACTCTGGGATCATGACCTGAGCCAAAGGCAGACACTTAGCAACTGAGCCACCCAGGGGCCCCTATAGGTCTGTTTTAATGCCAATCCCACACTGTTTTAACTATGGTATCCTTAAAACTATGATTAATTATACTTCAATTTTTAAAAATTTGTTTAAAAAATTACCTTAAAACTATGAATTATACTTCAATTTTTAAAAATTTGTTTAAAAAATTACTACAGCTTTGTAATATAGTTTGAAATCAGGCAGTGTGATGCTTCCAGCTTGATTCTTCTTTCTCAAGATTGCTTTGGCTATTCTTGGGTCTTTTATGGTTGTTTACAAATTTTAGGATTGTTTTTTCTATTGCTGTGGAAAAATACAGCTACTTTCATTTTTAAAAAAACATATGGTATATGGCAAAATAAAATCCAAAACTCTTCTGGAAATCAAATAATTACCAAAGAACACAGAGTCAAAAATAGCTACCTCTTAGCATTTAACAATTCACCCAGAGGGCCAGCAGTATAACAACTGCTGATTCTCAAGGGTCATTTCTTTAATCAATAAAATAAATTCTTACCTGGGAGCTGAAATGGACTTCCTGGTCCAGAACTTGCTGGGGAATTGGGATATGTGCTGCTAGCAGGGGAAGGGGGATAAGGGCTATTTGGAGATAAGGGAAAAGGAGTGTTGTTGGGCTGGTGGAAAGAATCTGGAAACGTTGCATTTTGTGGCATGTGTGGCTCGTTGTGGCTCAGGTTTCTAAACTGAACCAAAAGGCTGTGTTGTGGATTGAATTCATTGTGACGAGGCACTAATACTGGAGGTAAGACTGAAAGACAAAAATCAAAAGTCATCTGTCAGCAAAGACTAAAGCAAATATCCCATACATATTAAAGGGTAGATAGAAAGGATTCAGTAAAATTGTAAACCTATTAAAACAATTTACTTTCAGGAAGGGCGGCTTTGTAGAACCTTGAATGTATATTTACATAATAACTAAACCAAAAGCACTCTAAGGATTTAGGCCTGTGTAAAGAGCTCTGGAAAACAGAAAATCCAGAAAAGATACCACTCCTGTTCTGTAGGAGAGAAGGCATATTTATAAACAATCATAACACAGAGAATTTAATGTAGTGAGAGTTCAACAGAGGTGAGCACTTCCAGCTAGCAAGAATCAAACAAAACACTTTGGAAAAGATTACAACTGATTGGACATTAAAGAACAAGGAATGCCAGGTGCAGGGATACTACAGAAGGACATGGGGAGACTCCAGGAGGGAGATAAGAAAGCATATTCACAGTTGGCCTAAGCACTGAACTAGGAGCTGATATTAGAGTGTGACACTGAGTTCAGCTATTAAGATGCCCTGAAAGCCTCTGTGTTTCCAATTTTGAACATTTCATCTTTCTTAGTTTGAGACATTTCACATTTTATGTTCTTCAGTCAACTTTTCCCTAGTGAAAATAATAACATTTCCTAGGTAGAAGTCTTCCATTCAAAATCAGTTTTCTAAACATGATCATAATGAAAATATATCCAACAAGGCCTAAATATTTTAAGAGACCTACTTTTTAAAAGGTTAACTTTATTCAAACATTGACAATCTCCCAAATGACCAATCACATAGAAATGTCTGACTACCCTTCCCTATAGGAAATCGAAGCCAACGTGATTTCTTTCAACTCTTACTGTATCAGTTCAGCTCTTTTACAACCTTCCCATATCTGTCAATGTAATTTTACTTCCAAAAATCTCACTTTGACTCTCACATCATTCAGCAGCAACAAAATCAATCTGTTTTTAAGTTAACTAGGTCATACTTCCCTGCCTGAACCAGGGATGTACCTGAGGAATGAGAGGCTCTGTAAGTCAGTATTGTACTGTTTTTTTGTCTCTTTTCTTTGTACTGAATCAGTGTTGTAATTATGTGGTTAACATCTGATTACAATTGTTTCGTTCTACTGTGTATTACCAACTGCTGTTCCCTTTACAGAATGATGGGACAGCTGCCATTGGAAAGTAAGGCATGAGACAATAAGAATTTCTATGTTTAGCTGGCTAGCAAGCTGAAAGACTAAATGAAATAACTAATGAGGAATTCAATCCAGCTAAGAATTCCTTTATTTTTTTTTTAGAGGCAGAGCTAAAATCACTGACTTCTCTCTTGTCTATTATCTATACACATCACTTTTTAAAGACTATTTTCCTCCAAAATACATAGTTTAAAAAGACAGATGCTACAAGAGATAACAGAGCAATTTCTAAGCCTCCTCCCATACTGCTTCCAGAAACGACAAATTTAAACTCTTAGCCACCTCTTCTAACATTTACTTTGTGCATTGCTAGATAATATGCTTATACTGCTATTATTAATTTGCCAAGACATCATTTGCCGATTTGCTATTGTGGCAAATGAAGTAGCTTTCTTACAACATTCTAGCCACTCCCATTCCCATTCCCCTCAATAAAGTTACATAAAAAATGTTGGTTAAATCAACATCTGATGTTTATTACATGTACAAATATTATTCATTCTTGAGCCAAGTATGTACTATGATTATATTTTTTCTTGAACAGTGCTTTAAGTAAAGCTGATTATTGACTTGTTACTTCATTTGCTTAATCTTAAGTACACACAACTAATAATTCTAACAGATTTGTTAAATTCCTATCAATACTATTTTCCAGATGCCACAAATAAATAATCTATTAACTCATTTTTTCCCCTGGACCCTTCATTCTTCTATGATCTAGACTGGTAGCTCCTTAAGTCTCCTAGAGATCTCAAGTTCTTAGACTTCCCTTCTCTTCTCTCCTGTTGGAACCCATTTCCTGGACCTCATGCTCTATTAGTTTCCTAAGAGGGGTAAAAGGAAGGGGGCGCCTGGGTGGCTCAGAAGGTTAAGCATCTGCCTTCAACTCGGGTCATGGATCCCGGGGTCCTGGGATCGAGCCCCGCATCGGGCTCCCTGCTCAGTGGGGAGCCTGCTTCTCCTTCTCTATCTGCCTATCCCCCTGCTCATTCCTTCTCTCTCAAATAAGAATTTAAAAAAAAGGGTCAGAGATAAATTTTTAGTCCTTGCATATATGAAAATATCTTGTCTTTTGTTTGTCTGCAGACAGATTCCAGAATAAACAACTTTTCCTCTCTCAATTTTAGGGGCACTGCTTCACTGTCTTCTAGAATCCAGAACTGCTCTGAGAAACTCAACATTCTCACTTCCAGTCCTTTCCTATATGTCCTGTCTTTTCTCTCTGGGAGCCTTCAGAATCTTTTTTAACCATGATATACTAAAATTTCATGCATGGGTCTTTTATCCCTGATAGCACCATCACTGCCATTCTTTTAGCTAGTCTCCATACCCAATGTTATTTCCAGAGCCTTTTTACCATACCAGGCTCTTATTATCTCCATGTGAAATCCAGCATGGGAGACATTCTCTAAGGTGGCCACCATGATTCCTGCTTCTCAGTATATACCCTTGCATAATCCTCTCCCTTTCAAGGTATTATCTCTGACCTTCTGCTCACCAACAGAGCATGGCAAAGGTGATAGGATGTTATGTGATGATACGATATAAGAATAGAGTGCCCTTCTATCAAGAAGACCCTCTCTCTTCTGTCTTTGAAGAAGCTTCCATGAATGTGAGCTACTATGAAAAAGGTGGCAAACAAATGAAGGCAGCCTCTAGTCAACAACCAGCAAGAAGAGTCCAACAGCCCACAAGGAACTGAACCCCATCAACAATCACATGAGCTGGGAAGCAGATCCTTCCCCAGCTGAGCCTTACATGAGACCCAAGCCTTGACCAACACCTTAAATACAGCCTAGCAAAGGACTCAAGCCACGTCTGGACTCCTGTCCCACAGAAACTGTGGGATAATAAATGTGTATGAAGCCACTTACTTAATCTGTTATGTGGCAAAAGATAACTAATGCACCCAACTAGTATCTCAGCTTATATAATTCATTCATTAAAAAAATATTTACTGTGCACCACCTACTAAGTGCCAGGTCATACTACTATTCTAGGCACTGGTGATGCACTACAGAATGAGACAGAGGAAGTTCCTGCTTGCATGAGTCAATAAATAAAATAAATATCTAACACAGCATCAAGTAGTGATGGGGGTATTTGAGCAAGGACTGAACAGAGTGAGAAAATGTACCATGAAAAGATCATGGGAGAGAGTTAGGTAGAAGAAATAAAAAAAAGGAAGGGAGGAAGGGAGGGAGGGAGGGAGGGAGGGAGGGAGGGAGGAAGTCTAGATGCAGGAGTAGGCCAAGTCCATGGGACAGAGGAAGTCTGAAGAGAGGTTATGTAGGGTCTTTAGAAATCTGTTCTAAGTGTGATAAAAGTCTTAAGTGTTTTGAGCAGGCACAGACATGATTTGGTATATTCTTTTTTTAAAGACTGATTTATTTTAGATAAAGAGAGAGAATCTCAAGCAGACTCCCCGCTGAGCATGGAGCCTGACACGGGGCTCAATTTCATGACCCTGAGATCATGACCTGAGCTGAAACCAAGAGCTGGGATACTTAACTGACTGAGCCACCCAGGCGCCCCATGATTTGCTATTTTCTAAAGAGCGCTCTGGCTGCTGTGCAGAAAACAGAATGGGTTGGAGGGAAAGAAAAGAGGCAGAGAGACCAATTAGAAGACTGCTTAAGGCGGAAGATGATGATGGTCTGTCCTACAATAGTGGTGTTAGAGATGGTTAAAGGGGACATTATTAAGATAGTATTTTGAAGGTACAGCAAACAGCATTTGCTCATAGCTCAAATGAGGACTTCAAAGAGAGAAATAAAAAATAACTTCTAGGTAACAATTACATGAATGCTGGTGCCATTTACCTCAACAGGGAAAACTGGAGGTAAAAAGGAATTGGTGGGGGAAAAAAATCAAAAGCCCTATTTAGACATGTTGAATCTGATATGTTTATGAGACATTCAAACGGAGATGTCAAGTGAGCAACTGAATACAGAAGTCTAAAACTCAAAGGAGAAGTTCACTCTGGAGTTCAAAATGTGAGCATGAGCTTACAGTTTTACATGTGACAGCATGAGAGCCCATAGAGGTAAAATATGGATGTAGAAAAGGTCTACGGACTGAGTCACGTGAAAACAGGAAAAGCCGCCAACGAAGAGACTAAGCAAAAAGAGCCAGTGAACTAGGAGAACCAGAAGAGTGTCATGTTTCAGAAGCCAATAAAGAAAAAGTTGTGAGTGGGAGGGAAAGAAAGCATATCAAATGACGGTGAGAGGGCAAGTGAAATGAGGACTAAGAATGACCACTCCATCCAGAAGGCAGTCGCCAGGGATCTTGACAGGTCAAAGGGTAGGGAAGACAGACTAAGAGGAGGGGGGTGTACAGAAAGAACGGGAGGAAAGTAACATAGAGATAAAAAAAATGGAGACTCCTATAAAAGGACTCAAAGAAACAGTACAGCAGACTGGGGATGAGGGGATGTGAACGAAGTCGGGACCAGAATTCTTTTTTAACTTCTGTTTTAGGATGGGCAGTAGCATGATATGCTTATGTGCTGACAGAAATAGTCTAATAGAGAGGGAAAATGTAATCCTGGGGAGAGGAGTGGTAACTGCATGAACAAAGTTCTTGAGTAGACAAAAAGGAGTGGGATGTAGCACACATATGGAGCTTAGGTTTTTTTTTTTTTTTTTTTAAGATTTTATTTACTTATTTGACAGAGAGAGACACAGTGAGGGGAAGTTGGAGAGGAAGAAGCAGGCTTCCCGCTGAGCAGGGAACCCAACGTTGGGGCTCGATTCCAGGGCCCTGGAATCATGACCTGAGCCGAAGGCAGGCGCTTAATGATTGCACCACCCAGGCGCCCCTGAAACTTGGGTTTTAGATAAAACAGAGACATGTCATCCATGGGAAAGGCAGAGCATGCATACGACTGACACTGACTGATTCATATACATAGGACTGACTGCTTACAGTGAACATGAATTAGAATTAGATACTTGAGAGCTATATAATCCACTATTTCTTCCAAGATTAAAATCTTTAAGAAGGAAACACAAGGCTAATACAGCCTTTTAATTACTAAATCCACTGAAATGTAAATCAGAAAGAGACATGGTTTTGTAATTCTTCTCAAGGTAAAACCTACCTGGACTCTCCACTCTCTTATAGTGGTATGGGTTGATACAAACTTCTTTCTGCTTAGATCCAAAAGGAAATTCACAAATATCCAATGGCTTTAGCTCATGATGACTCTGCAAATCAGGCCAGCGCCAAACACGACAATATATAACATGGGGTAAGCCTTTTCTGTGGGAAACCTGCAGGCGTCCATCTAAAGATCTGGGAATAGTGACACATTTGCTCGGCTGTCCTGGACTGCTCAAGGCTTTCTCCAGTTCTTCCATGGCACCCTTTTTCTTTTTTAGCTTTTTCACCAAAGCATCGACTGCCTTTTCTGCCCATTTCTCCTCTTCATCACCTTGCTTCCAGCCCAACAATCGCTTTACTGCTGGACTAGTAAAGGAAAACAAGCTGGCCATTGACGTCATTTGATATAAATCTTCAGAGACCTTCCTGCAACTCAAAGTCAGTGGCTACTCAAAGAACAGCTCACAGATGAAAAGTCACATACAGGTTCTAAGCAGAAGTTCCAATTAAAAAGGGAGGAGTGACATTTATCTTCATAAGTGCCATAAGATTCTTTCATTGGTTCAAGTCCTGAAAGAGAAAGAGGGAAAAGGGTAAGACCCCTAACTTAAATGAATGCAATTAACATACATCTAAATATAATTGGAAAGTATGTTATTTTTAAATAAGAGCAGAAAAGCATTACAAAGTAAAACAAAAACCTAAGTCTAGAAAGAGAAATTTTCCCTAAAGTCCTGTGACCACTTACTTCCTTTCTTCCTAACATGAACAAGTAACTCACTGGCAATGCCAAATAACCACCAAAAGCAAAAACAGATTGCTCTACCTCCTCTCCTCTGTACTTTCCTAACAAGCCTCTAGACTTTCATTTCCTTTCCTTAGGCCAATAAGCCCCCAAATGCCCTTCTAAGGTTTGATTCTGAAGTACTTCTCTTCACTGAAACCCATGTCACATGCCCTGTCAATTTTGAACACAGTATGTCCTCTAATGTCAACACAGTCTTCAGAGAAATCTAACTCTTTCCTAAGGTCATTATTCTCCATAAAGTGTTTCACAGACTTACAAGGTTTGGACAAAAGCTATAGTCCTATTTAAGTCACATTATTAGATGCAAATTTTATCAAATTTTATATTAGGTTTTTCATAAGAGATAACAAATCCTCAGATAAATCATAACACACATAACTGCCAGAAAAATGGGAAGTATCTATTTGTAAAACTAAAAATGCTGAATAGATTTAAAGAGAATAAATTCAAAGTTTAACCCAGAAAAGGATAGTTTATAATTTTATAATTGCTATTGCCTTCTGTGGTATTTTAGGCATGTTAAGTTAAAGAACCTGCTCTAGGCAGACCACCCCACTGCACCCTTACAAAGCTCTTGGAGATGATGACAAGAGGAAGTGATGTGCAGAGGCACTGCACTGATAAGAACGGGTACAATTCCCTGTGGTCACTACACAGCCAACTACAGACAATGAGCGGCTAGTGAAACAGCAGGAGTAATGTTTGGAAAAAGGATGTCAGTAACAAATTAGAAGCCAAGAGGCTTCTTTCCTTGGGCCTAAAATTGCAAATAATGCTGCAGCTCTGCCTTTGACAAATTTCTACCAAACTCTGGCATCAAGACCATTCTGGTTTGGGATCCATCTTCCCAGAAAAGAATACTTGTGTTCAGTTAAAACCCAGATAAACATAAATTAAAATAAAACTGAGTTAAATTCAACAAATAAGAATTAATTGCTTGCTATGTGCCATACATTGTGAACTGCCATGATGGTGCTTTAAAAAAAAAAAGTCACACCAAATTATGCTTCATGTTAACAGCCAACTGATTCATTCATTCAACATACACTTACTGAGACCTAGTAAACGCCAAGCATTATTCTGGATGCTGATCAACCACCTCTGGCTATCCAGACTGCTATGAACCATGGTTAGAACCTAGAACCAAGGGTGCAAAGGTGCACAGAAGTAAAGTAATACTCCTTCTGTGTGGATGGATTTCCAACGCTACATGGGATAATTTTTGTCAGGTAGGCAAAACTGGCTACATTAAACTAAAGAAAATAAGTAAAGACTGAAAGTGTATTTGTCCGAAACAGGTCACAGACTGGGAAGTGTTATGTGCTAAAAGAGCTGAGCTCAGCTATAGCTACATCAAAGACATAGGATAAAAGCCATCTGGGACAGAGAGTAAAGGTAACAAAGTAAACCAAAATATCACTGGCTTGTCTAAGACAAGAGAAATTTCAAAGGCACAGGGACACAAACAACAACAAAATATGTGGGCAGACATGAATAGAGCATTTCCTAAAATAGAGAATAGCTAGGTCTGGCTAACTGAGATCTTACTCAGTAACACTGGAACATAATGGAGACCAGATGGGGTAGTGCATGTGTGTGGGAGAGAGAATATATGGACAATGGAGAGATTAAGTTGAGGAAAGGGACAAGAGGAGAGAAGCTTGAAGACCAGACACCAGATGGTAGTTAACCACGAGACGGTGCTTAACGTTAACTATTAATCTCACTATCCTCATCATCATCATTACCATCAAGTACTAACCATATTATACATTAACCAAAAAAAAAAGGCGGGGGGAGTTATTTCTGCGTATACACAAAGAACAAGGACTAGAAGGCTACATACTAAATTCATCATGCAGTTACCTTTGGGGAGAGGCATGGAATGGGGGAAAGGCGAAAGAAAGGGGTCCTGTGATTTGTTTTATATATTTCTGTATTACTTTTAACCTTTTCACAAAGGGAATCTATTAATGCATTACTTGCATAATACTAAAATAAAAATAGTAAATAATCTAAAACAAATTGTGAATAGAACGGAGTTACGAGTGCCAGTACAAGGAGGAGGTAAGACTAATGTATGCTATCTTAGAGGTCAGGATGGTGGTTTCCCTTTGAAAGGAAGGGTATTAACTAGAAGGAAAACTGAGTTTCTGCCATCCTGGTAAAGTCCTGCTTCTCCTCTGGGTGATTATACGGGAGAGCTCAGTTTGTGAAAATCCAGCTGGTGGGATACTTAAGATGTGTACACACTTCTGTATGATTTTAAAAAAATTTCTGGATATACAAAAAAGCATAGAGTGCTCAGTTTCCTTCCCATTTTTCTCCCCATCATCAATCAATTCCCCTTCTCACAGGTAATCCCTCTGTATTTGTCTTTCATGTCCCTACAGACAAATTTAACACAAATACAAATATATACATAAAACCTTTTTTTACATAGTGGTATTCTAAAAAGAAAAAGGTACAGAAAAACACATGTACCATATATGCTCAAGATCTTCCCATTCCAATATAGAAAGTGCTTCCACATTCTTTTTTCTACTACACAGAATTCTAGTATAAAAGTAATCTTACAAGCATGTCAAACTATGTCATTCCTCTGCTCAAAAATTATTCAGTGGTTTCCCATTACACTCACATCTAAGTTCCTTAACATCATTTTATAGGGCCTACATGAGCTGGCCTTTGGCTTTCCATCAAAGTCATTTCTTACCATTCTCCTACCTAACTTTGCACTTAACCACTCCTTTCCATTTCTCAAGTGCTCCAAGGTCATTTCTACCTTAAGGCCTTTGCACTTGATGTTTCCTCCCCTGCACTCTCCCTGATCTTATTTAACATGCTTACTCTTTCAATTAATTCAGCTGCTCAAATGTCACTTCTTGAAAAAGTACTTCCCTGGCCACTTTATCTAAAATAGCATACATCACACTCCCGCATCATTCTCTCCTCCCTGATCCTGCTCACTTTTCTTTCATGGTGTTTATCCTAACCTGATCAACTATCAATTTTATTTACTTATTATAGGTCTTCCTCACTGACATGTTAGTAGGCAGGTAGCTTCATCTTCCTTATCCATCATCAAATCCCCTGGACTGAGAACAGTGCCTATTTATTAAGTGAGTGAGCAAGGAAGTAGTGAATGAGTGAACTAAAGAAAAGCAACTTGGAAAAATATACATTCCTTTACCAGAGCAACCTAGTATAAAAGTTAAAACAAAATATTGTATTTATGGATATGCACAGATATGGTAAGAGAATAAAAGCATGGATAAAAATGATACATACCAATCTCAGGACAATGAGTACTGGTTGCAAATGCTAAAAGGAAAGAAGGATGAAGAATGGAAAAGCTTCAGCTATTTTAAAACCAGATTTAAAAAAATTGGCAAGTCATCAGATGTTATATTCTCTCTTCTTCTCTCTGTTAGAATATTTCATAACACAAAATATTCAAAATTTTTAATTTTTAAAAAGTAGTGTGATGAAAACAGAAAATGATCAGATTCTGTCCTTTACAAGATATAAAACCAAAACCAGGTATCACTCTTTCTAAGTCTACTAATTCTTCTGTAAAAAAGGGGTGACGGTTCCTAAGTGACTAAAAAATTGAAGTAATATAATATGTAGGGGTGCCTGGGTGGCTAAGTCAGTTAAACATCCAACTCTTAGTTTCAAAGCTCAGGTCATGATCCCAGGGTCATGAGATAGAGACCCGCGTCCGGCTCCACACTGAGCATGGAGCCTACTTAAGATTCTCTCTCCCTCTCCCTCTGCCCCATCCCACCTACTCGCATGCACATCCTCTTTCTCACTCTAAAATAAATAAAATCTTTTAAAAAATAATAAAATATACGTGCACATATGTGTCAACACACACACGATAGATGCTTTATAAACTAAAAAGTGCTATTCAAAATGAATTATGAGCATTAGTATTCAAAGGAAAAAGAATCAAGACTCAAAAAAATGGCTGGATCTGGAGCACCTGGGTGGGTTAAGCACCCAGCTCTTGATTTTGGCTCAGGTCCTGATCTCAGGGTTGTGGAATCAAGCCCTGCATCAGGCTCCACACTGGGCATGGAGTCTGCTTAACATTCTCGCTTTCTCTCCCACTCCCTTTCTTTAAAAAAAAAAAAAAAAGGCTGGATCTAGTACCAACCTAACATAGCCACCACTATACCACTATACACACTTTCTGATCCAGCCCAAATTCCTGTACTTTTGCCCATCCAAGAGAAATCTGAAGTCATTCTTAATGATAAGCTCAAGGCCACTCCCTCTGGTGAAGAATTCCTTCACCACCTGATTCTAAAGAGGCTATGGTCACTGAATATCATAAAAATTAATAAAACAGTGATAAGAACATATCTTAACTTTCCAAATGGAATACAAAATCTTTCCAGGAAGAAGTCTTCAGCACCTGGCACCATTCCATTCATCATACCACATATTAAAGGAGTATTTAATGAATGGTCATTGATTTTTCTATCAACTGTACCTTGAAATTAAAGGTAACTCCAAATTTTAACCCAGGTGACTAAGATAATGATAACTCCATTTGCAGAAATAAGGACACTCAGAAAGTAGTTTAGTCAGTAGATAAGATGGCAAACTCTACTGGAAAAAGGTCATGACTGGAGATACAGGTTTAGCAAGGAAAAGATGAGAAAGAAATTTAAGATTTGCACAAAGAGCTGAAACAGTAATAAAAAGTGGTTTTTCAACAGAAAGAAAAGGGTGGCATGTTAACACCTGC